TCTCCTTTTAAATTTTTACATTTTCTTTAAACTTTCCAATGTGAAATACTTTACAAGTATCTTACATTATTAACTATTTCTAACAAAAACAACCTCAATATGCTTTGTGCAAGCCTGGAAAACAGGATTTGATGCTAATGCAGTTGAATTAATGTTGTTACACCAAATAGGAGGGACCGTTGAAAGAAAAATCATTAAATCTTTAAACAAGAAGTGCAACTAGAAAAGTTTAGCTGCGTCGTGAGGTTTGACAATTCGATTTTCGGACTCGATTGAGAAACCGGTTTTTACTTCTTGGCACTCGATGATATTGTACTTAAGCCAGGACAAATACAAAACCCAACTATAGACCGTCTGTGGGAAGGGCAACCCACACAGTTGACGTCCGAAGAGGCTTCAATGCATAAAGGTCTAGGTTGAAAGACAATATCATAATCAAAATAGTCCCCTCCGTGTAACGTAAAATACATTTAACCGTGATCCAATATGTTGACGTTGGTGTTCCTTGTCTTCAAATAACTTTTCCGCCTACGGTATCAAAAATTTGCTATAACATTAAAATTGATCACCCAAATACTGGTTATGTGAAATAATATAATACTCAGAAGTTCAAGGTTAAAACAACGGGAAATTGTGAAAACTTAGAACACAAAGAAAAAAAAAAAATTATTGTAGAGATTTTGAAATTAAAAAATTATTGTAGAGATTTGAAATTAAAAAATAATAAATTTGGATTTAAGATCATAATTGAAAATATTAAAGTATTAGAAATACCCTTTCAAATCCACATGACAATTATTAATGAACCAGTTTTTGAACACAATTGAGAATCAACTGAGGAATGATCCCAAACGAAAAATTTAGTGGTGATAATATAAAAACATCAAAAGTTATAATTAATGAATTATCTGAATAATATAAGAATTTAATTGTAGATCACAAGCATTCACCGTACCCAGAGTCTGTGATAAATTAAGTTTTCTAACAGGTAAACTTTATTTTATTACAAATAATAATTAATTAATTCAAGCATAGAATAATCAGTTATTTGACTTGCAGAGAATTTCAAGCATTCGATGTACATAGTATAACAAATCAAGAAAATATAAAAAGTAAAAACTTTACTAAAAGATAAGAGTTAAAATAAAAAAATAAATCATGCATTAAAACGAACATTGAATCAAAGATAATACCGTGCGTTATTGAAAGTATCTCCCCTACCTTTAGTTGGGCTTTTAGCAAGCCATAAAATTAGAACAAAAATTAGAAAAAAAAGATGAAAAAAATAATAATAATCTTCATCAAAAAGGTGAGAGTCCTTATTTATGCTAAAATAAATCCTAGGTATAGATAACAAATCTAGGGTTGGTTTTGGAGGAATTTTTTTTCCAAAAAATGTCCTTTTAAGTCAAATTTCGTACATAAAATCTTGGGGCGTGCGAGTACAAAATTTACTCAGAATTCGAGCTCAATTTTTGCATAGTTAGAAGCAAATTTACAAAATTTTTGTGAAAAACACTTTTGTAGCCCTTGAAGTATTCTTTCCAACCCCACAAAAATCAAGTCCATCAGATAACGAAGTCAAAATTTATAACCAAAATACTGAAGAAGTATCAAAATCTTATTTTCTAAAATATTTTTTAATCCAACTTTAAATGAGTTTTCTTCTTAATTGGATTTTTATATGGATTAATTGATGTCTTAATCTTCAAATCGTCCTTTCTTATTTTTGACTCTTCAATCTTTATCAATTGTGGTTCTTCTTCTAGTGATTGTTTCACTTGTCTTTTCTATTATTATTTAAAATCAACCAATTTACATGCAAAAAAAACCAAATAACTAGAAAAAGTATCAAACTAGAAAATTAAAAATCTAACACATTTAATCACAAATAATATGCAACTAATCAATCATTAAATATAACAAAATTACACTTTTGATGGTTAATCAGTTGGTTTATGTATAAATTGATAAACCTGATTTATGGAAAAGGCAATGCTAGTTCGTGAGAGTGTAAGATATTGTAATGCTCCCACAACCGCTACAATAGTACGATGGATCGTCGAGAGGATGACCATCACCCAGACTCAGTTTACTCCCAAAACACACGGTGAAGAAACATGTCTTGGCTTCGACCATTTTCATGTGGGGGTGAGAGTGTATTCTGAGATTGGGTCACGAATAAATTACCACTGGAAGCAGTGACCTCTAAGCCAAGTAAGAAATGCAATGGCCCCAAGTCTTTCATGACAAATAGCTTTTTTAAATCGACAATAAGCTATTGGAAATGAACCACACTATTGCCGAAATGAGGATATCATCAACATAAGTAAGAAGGAAAATAAAATGTCCCGATGATAAGTAAAAAGAGAGTAGTCGGCTTTGGATTCTATAAAACCAAAATCTTCAATATAATTTAAAAATCGTTGAAACCATGCCCGGGGATTGCTTTAACCCATAGAGGGATTTATGTAAATAACAAACATGATTCGGAAAAGTAGAATTCTCAAAACCATCAAATTTCCTGACGAAGGACACTATGCAGAAATGCATTTTGGACATCAAGTTGTTAGATGGGCCACTTACGATAAACAACAATGACAAGTATTGTCCGAATGATTGTATGTTTAATCACCGGGCTAAATGTTTCAGTATAATCCAAACCTTGTTCATAATGAATCCATTGGCGACAAGGCGAGCTTTAAAACATTCAATCAGACCATCAGACTTCCGTTTGATTTTGTAGATCTATTTGTTGGACAGGAGGTTTGTATTTGAAGATGGCGGAACAAGATTCCATGTTCCATTTTGTTGAAGAGCAGCAAATTTAGAGCACATCTCTTTACGACATTCAAGATCTTTTTGTGCAGTTGGAAAAGAGTATGGCTCCATAAAATCCAATGATATATTAAAAGCAAGAGCATATGTCGGATTAATTTTCCTGCACATAAAATTCTAATACAAGTTGTCAAGACTTCATACACAAACTTGTGGCTGCCAAAAATCATCGATTGTGGTGCTGAATTGGCGCCTGATTTCCCTGCCTCAGTGAATGCGCACAACAGAAGAATATGACAGCAAAACCGGTGCTGATATTGTTGAATTTAAGCTACATATTCAAACAATCTCCCCCTTGATGAAATTTCAATAAACTCCACTTGAAACATCAGGTAAGCATCTTGATCCAGATGCCCATTAACTTATTATGGGATGTTCAGTCCAGTATCCTGGGATGTCCATCAATCTTCAACAACGTAAAAAAAAAATCTTTTAACTTCTGGGTAGTCATTGGTGTTGTCAAATTCTCAGTTATCCGAGAATTGCTTTGAACAGACCGTGTCGCACCAATATTTGTTTAATAGTGTTTTCACAAGGCTCCACCTCGAACCATGCCGAGGATCCTTTTCTACCATTGTACTGAGTACCAGTAATTTAGAATGGATGTATTTATTCTTAATTCCAACCTTCTCCTGTTGAACCACTCTCCACAAGCTCTGTGTCCGCTCTTTCAAGAAGCAAGCTTTATCCGCACTTCATGTGTTACCACATTACCACTCCATTGAGAGCCTTTTTTGCACCTATCATCTTGCGCCCTTCTCTGCATCTAGAATTGCGTTTCCGTAACTTCCATACCAAGAGTCTATTATTGCTCTTAAGAGCCTTCATTGTCAGCTAGTCATATCATAGGTTGGAGAGTTCTCCCGGGATCAACAACCATCGGCTCTGATACCAATTATTGAGTTTTGCACAGCAGTTTGACACGCTCTGACACCAATTTCTGGTACCATTTGTTGGGTTCCACCTAGTGGTAATTCCGCCTGATACCATTTGTCCAAAACCTTGAAAGAGGTAAAGGATCAGAAGGTCAATCATTTGAACCAGGCAGAGGATTGAAGTTCAGGTCAATCTGTCCGAAACCTTGAAAGAGGTAAAGGATCAGAAGGTACTTGGACCAGGCAGAGGATTGAAAGCCAATAAAAACTGACTAAAGGATTTTTGCCGAAGTCTTCTTTGCAGAGAAACTTAACCATTTGTTTGAACCCACCCATCAAGGAGAAAACAATCTTTATGATTCCTTTTAACCAACCTGCAAATGGTGACAAGGATGTCATGATACAATAACAATTTGACTACTCAAATTATTTGTCTACGGAGTGTGCTGACAACACTCAAAATGTATTGGTTTGGTAGTTAAAATCATCACTTTGTAGTATAAATACCAGGTTTATGTCTTTTATACATGTGGGATTGAGGTGCAACATTGCATTGTTGCTAAAAATCAAAGATAATTCACACATATTTGCATGATATTTTTTAAATTTGAAATATTTCTCATCTTATATCAGCTTAATTTGTCATGGCACAACAATACCTTAGCAAAAAGTCCTCAACATCAATAATCCAATAAACAAACATAATCTCTATACTAATTCCTTGTCGTCAGTATCATTTCAAACCCTCACTTACTTCAAATTCCTTCAAAATCTTCCTAACTTGTTCGAGGGTCACAAACAGAATAACAGTGAACGGACCCTGCCTAGAAATTGTTGGAATAAACCCCTTGTAAAGTGACATGGGTCCCTCAGCTCTCACCGTCTTAAGGGCACAATCAAGTGAAGGTTCATCACTCGGGTTTTGATCACATCAATTAAGTTCGATGCCACCGCCGCCACAAAACCTGCGGCAAAGCTTGCAGTCACGTGGGTCCCGAGACCATCGTTCGTCACACCATGGTCCAATCTCGCTTCCTTGATCTGATCGTACGATGCAAACTGTGATGCCGTGACGATCATAGCACGGTTCACCGTAAGGGATGAACTGCGCCACAGGCTAGTGATCCCCTCCTGCTTGGACATTTGTGTAATTGCATCAACCACTCCCTTGTAGTTGCGGCGCTGAGAAATTGGAAGCCGACCATCGGCTTGAATTCGGACCATTGCCACGTCAGCAGGGTTGCCAACAGCCGCGCCTATGCCTCCGGCGAGCAATCCGGCGGCTATTTTACGGCAGACTGGGAATTTACCCGAATCCGGGTCGGACCATTTCTGCTTAAAAACCTCATACAAGCCCATTCTGGTGGTGGAGTACAATGTCTGGCGGAGCACGGTGGCAGAGACACCGGAGAACAAGGCAGAAGCACCTTCGGATTGAAAAATCTTTACCCCAACCGAAATATGGGTCCCACTCTAGGTGGTGCTGGTGCAGGAATGTGAAGGGTTTCTTGAGCCATTGTTGCGCCGTTGAAAGCAAAGGCTGGACGCAGAACTTGTGTGTTCGGGTTGGGGAACATGGTTTTCACCCTGAAGCTGCATTCTGACCTTGATAAGGTCCAGAGGATGGGTCGAACAGCCTGCTACTACTGAAGCAATACCTCCCTCGACGAAGCCTTTCAGACCCATAATTGATTCTTTGTGTAGCGACTGAGAAAACTTATGGAGTTATGAAATTGGGTTTTTTTTTAGTGAAACAAACGGAATCAGAGAAGTATCAATGGAGTTTGGAAAAAATGGGTGTCAGAATAAGTATATGAATGAATGAATGAATGAATGGTTAGGAAGACCAGTAAGAATTAGGATTTATCTGACCGGAGACCAGTAGAGTAGAATGGAGAGCAAAAGTTATAGAGGAAGGGTGTGATGCTATGTGTCTGTGAGATATGAGAATTTGAATTTATAGGAGGAAAAGAGAGGAAATAGGAAAGAAGGAAATCAGAGAGGTGTATAGGAGAGAGAACGCGATTGGAGAAGGTCCATTGGCAAAGCCCTAACCCTTATTTCAATATTTGACTAGACCGGTTCTACTTGGCAATAATCCTGACTTTTGACTTGAAACATTGATGGTGGTAGGGTGGCCAACGAGAAGTAGTTATGTTCCGCGTTACTATTATTTCTACCCTAAATGAGTCAGTTGGTGGCATGCCTGTACTTAAGTAACAATGAGATGGCTGCTTTAGAACTGTAAGAATTAGGAGTGTAATTTATGCGGGTTAATTTCAACCCAAACCGACCTTAACCGTACATGGATTGTGATTTTTAATATTTAAGTTGTGCTTGAACAATAAAATTCAATCTGAATTGAGTTTGGACAATACTTAAGTTGGAAATTCAAATTGATGATTTTAGCCATCACCCAACTCGAATTTAAAAAATTGGGTTTGACCTAAAATTTGAAAAAAAAAATTATAAATAGACATGCATATATAAAAAATGTTAGGACATTTGTTATTGATGTTTTAAGTCTATTGCATATATAAAATTTATTTTTTCTGTTTTCTAATTAGTTTTGATTAATGGAAGGTATAGAACTAAGTTCAATTTTGGTGTTGGACCCAAAACTAAACCCTATTTTTAGTTCAATTTGAGTTTTAATTAACAAGAAATTCAATTCAAACTCGAGGTTAACCCAAATTCTGTAAGCCGAGATAAACTTAAATTCAAAAATTTAATCGTGGGTTGGACTTGAATTAGAGTTGCTCAAGTTGTGCTGGAGTTGGGTTGGACTCGAGTTAAAGGTTTTGGATTGATCTCTTAACTAGCCCAAACCCATCAGAGTTGCACCCTTAGTAAGAATATACGGCAAATGCATAAGATTTTAGAAGTACCTTGGAAATGGACATCTTGGTAGTTAGATTAGTTTCAGCTGTAAAGAAAATGTAAACAAATTCTGAAAGTAATTCAGGAAAGGAGGTAGAAGAGTGGGGCAGAGCTGGAGAGTGGTGGAAGACATGAATCAGGACAGTAAAGAATATGGGAATATTTTGGTTCAACAGTCTTGGTAAATCGCTTATTTTGAGGTTGGCACCTATAACAGAGCAAGATTTTACTCTTTTTGACACACTAAGAACATATTGACAACCCAATTAACAAAAGCTCTAAATTAATCTTTTTTGCAGGTTGCAAAACTACAAGAGCAGTTGCAGAAACAGAGGAAGTTGAGGACAGTACTGGAAGCTGCACATAAAAAAGGAACCTTCCTTGTCTGAACCTCTATTGATGAGGTGGTCTGGTTAGTCTACCACACAATCATAGACATGTGCATTAATTGTTGACTTCATGATGTGCTAAACAGCTAAAGAGGAAGGCAGAGCTTGAGGGAATGGCAGAACGCATAGATATATAATCCGTTTTTCCTTATTTTTTTTCCATTTCACCCCCCACTCTCATTTAAGCATAAATATTTTCTCATTTCAGTATGTTTTTCCTGCACTTTCCACAAATTTGCTGACATATTAAGAGAATGGATAAAAATGAATAATTGGAATTTTGTCATGCCTTTTTTCTCTTTTCCGGTGTTAATTTGTTTTAGGAAGAATAAACAGATGGACTTTGACACCACAGTTGCTTCACATACATACATACAGTGGATAAGTGGACAAGAAGTAATGTACGTACTTGGTGATGACATTGACTTCATATTGGTCAGTACTGATTAATGTTGTTTTCGTGTTTGGAGAGGAACACGGATTTTTCCATGAAGCTACAATACTTTATATTCATAGTTAGTGGATTTTGCTCGGACTAATACTACAATATATAATGGATATTAGGATAATTCAACTAGTACGGTAATTCTGCACCTCTAAGGATTCTATGTAAGACATGAATTAGGTAATGTATAGTGTATAACAATTCATAATTAATACCATACCATAGCAAAAATGCATAATTGGAATCTCTATAACAATTCTTTGTCGTCATTATCAAATCAAGTTCTCACTCATTTTTAAAAATCTTTCAAAATCTTCCTGACTTGTTCAAGGGTCACAAACAGCACAACAGTGAACGGACCCTGCCTAGAAATGGTTGGAATGAACCCCTTGTAAAGTGCCATGGGTCCCTCAGCTCTCACTGTCTTAAGTGCACAATCAAGTGCCCCACTATACGGTGGAGCCATCCCTGGCTCCACTTTCATGTTCATCACTCGGGTTTTGATCACATCAATAGGGTTTGACGCCACCGACGCCACAAAACCAGCGGCAAAGCTGGCCGTCACGTGGGTCCCGAGACCATCTTTCATCACACCATGGTCCAATATTGCTTCCTTGATCTGATCGTACGATGCAAGTTGTGATGCTGTAACAATCATAGCGCGGTTTACCGTAAGGGATGAGCCGCGCCACAGGCTAGTGATCCCCTCCTGCTTGGACATTTGTGTAATTGCATCAACCACTCCCTTGTAGTTGCGGCGCTGAGAAATTGGAAGCCGACCATCGGCTTGCATTCGGACCATTGCCACGTCAGCAGGGTTGCCAACAGCCGCGCCGATGCCTCCGGCGATCAATCCGGCGCCTATTTTTCGGCCGAGTGGTAATTTACCCGAATCCGGGTCTGACCACTTCTGCTTGAAAACCTCATACAAGCCCATTCTGGTGGTGGAGTACAAAGTCTGGCGGAGCACGGTGGCGGAGATACCGGAGAACAAGGCGGAAGCACCTTCGGATTGAAAAATCTTTACCCCAACCGAAATGGGTCCCACTCTAGGTGGTGCTGGTGCAGGAATGTGAAGGGTTTCTTGAGCCATTGTTGCGCCGTTGAAAGCAAAAGCTGGACGCAGAACTTGTGGGTTCGGGTTGGGAACATGGTTTTCACCCTGAAGCTGCATTCTGACCTTGATAAGGTCCAGAGGATGGGTCGAACAGCCTGCTACTACTGAAGCAATACCTCCCTCGACGAAGCCTTTCAGACCCATAATTGATTCTTAGTGTAGCGACTATGGATCGAGTTATGAAATTGGGTTTTTTTTTAAGTGAATTCGTTTCACAAACGGAATCAGAGAAGTATCAATGGAATTTGGGAAAAATGGGTGTCAGAATAAGTATATGAATGAATGAATGGTTAGGAAGACCAGTAAGAATTAGGGTTTATCTTACCGGAGACCAGTAGAGTAGAATGGAGAGCAAAAGTTATAGAGGAAGGGTGTGATGCTATGTGTCTGTGAGATATGAGAATTTGAATTTATAGGAGGAAAAGAGAGGAAAGAAGGAAATCAGAGAGGCGTATAGGAGAGAGAACGCGGTTGGAGAAGGTCCATTGGCAAAGCCCTAACCCTAATTTGACTGGACTGGTTCTACTTGGCTGTTTGGGAAGATTCTTTTGCCCTCACTTTTGACCTAAAATATATTATATATTAATGGCGGTGGGCTCTCGGCCAACCAGAACGAAGGAAAGCCTTGTGAAGAGCACGTGGCGAGCAAGTGTTATGTTCGGCGGTATTATTATTTCTAATTTTGATTATTGATTATTTTTGTTGCGTGATTATATGGTAATTGGTAAGTGTCCAGCTTGAAAGGTCTGACCTTATGACCATCCTCTTTTGTCGGACATTAGAGAGGCTTGAAGAGGTTTAAACAGGTAAATCGGGTTCTACGCCAACATTTTATACACAGACACTATTAATATTTTATCTATTAATATATATATATATTGTAATGATACTAAAAATTAGTCAAAAGCTCAAATTTCGACATCTCAGTTTATGATCATCAATTTTGGAGGCGCAAGTCAAAAATTATCGTCAACGTGACTCTTATACGCATAAGTCGACATGACTCTTGTACACATAAGAATAGGTATAACTCAAACATTTTAAAAAGTCGAATCACGTTAAATCAAATATTTTAACACGTATGACATAACAATCCCAAGAGATCACGTTGTTATTATGCAAGGATCGCGTTGGTTACGAAAGAATTACGAAGATTATGTAAGACAACTATATATTATAAATAGGGATCAAATTTCTCACATTGAAATCAATTAAACATCTGTGTCATTGACACTGTGTAATACTGTAACCGTCTTCTTCAATTAATAAAAAACTCTCATAAAAATAAGAGATTCTATTAGAGTGGACAAACCCAACTCTCGAATTAATGAACCACTATAACTTTTCTGTTTATTGATATTTGTTCATAAGTATTTAACTCTTGTATCGATTGTTCAAATCTCAAGAACCCAGAAGTTCTAACCGAATATCCCAATAAAATCAACAGTATCCTTGACAAGATCTCTAACCCGTTTACCTCTGCTCAACTGCGTAGAACACACCATCATATTTAATTTTTTTTTATTTTTTGAAATACAAAATATTGATCAAATTCTTATGTTTAAGTTTTAACAATAAATCTTTATCAGTAGATAATATAATTAATTCATTCAATCTTAATTGATCATAAATAAGATATTATCAATTAATTTTTGAACAAGCAATTTAATGGGCCTTTAAAATTTTGACTTAACTAAGTATAGAGTAATTTTGGAACAACAAAATTAGATATTGATTTGAATTCTTAAAATTTTATACTAAAAATTTAGACAATATCTAAAATACAACACAAAAATTAGGTCTACTACACTAAAGAGTAAATTTTTGGAGGCCCTCTAAAAATTGGGTTCAAGTAGAGAATAATTTTAGACTTGACAACATTAGATATTAATGTGAACTCTTAAGATTAGGATCATATATATATATATATATATATATATATGCCTACCCTTCTAAAGGGGTAAATTTTTAATAGCCCTCTAAAACTTGGGCTTAACTAAGTCACTTGTAATTTTGAACTTCATAAAATTAAATATTGATTTGAACTCTTAAACTTTGGGTCATAAAAGTTTAGATCATATCTAAAATACAAAGCAAAGTTATTATACTAAAAATAATTTGGGGGGCCCTACGCAAGCTCCTTAATTGCCTATGATTAGGGCCAGAAATCTCTTAAAGTCTAATAACGGGACGGTGGCTATGAGATCAACCATTAACTTTATCACACCTTTGATCAAAGGAAATAATTTAAAAAAACTACAAAAGATGGTAAATATTACCTAGAAATTTGATAAACTAAGCCTAAAAAGTAATAAATGAACTCAAAATATAAATGCACTCTAAAAATTAATAAATTTCACCCAAAATATAATATAGCTACTCAAAAAATAATATGTATGATACTTCAATTTTTATTTAGTATCGTAGGCAAATCATCAATCAAATAATGAAATTCATGCAAGAGTACATAGCTAGGTAATACAGGGACAAATTAATAGGTCTTTAGCTCAATGATACTCATTGTCTTGTAAAAGTTTTATCTTCTTGATATCAAAAATTTAAATTCTCCTCCCCATACCCCTCCCCCCCCCCCCCCAAAAAAAAAAAAAAAAAAGAGAAGGTAATATAGTTACAATCAAGAGTTGCCTCTAACAAGTATTAACTCTTTTGATCTCTTATTTGTTAAAATCTTAAAGAGAACAAAGTTTACAAATTGAGCAAGACCAAGATAGTTGTGATTAGGGAGATTTAGAAATTTTCTTTTGGGTGGGTATTTTAACAAAATTTAATTTTTTTTCTTTCCATTTATAAAATAAAAAAATATTTATATCTATTACATCATATTGATACATAAAAATTTATTGAATACAAGAGGTGCAAAAGTCAAAGATATATAAACAAAAAACAAAAAATGATAACTTCATTGTTGATGCTTATATCTTTCTATATATGTCCTCAAGTTATCATTCATCCATTGATATTAATCCAATTACACAATCTCAATTTTTGCTTTTAATTTGTCGGACAATGTCGTAAAAAAATAAAAGGTTAATTGTAAATTAATTTAAAATAATTTTACTTTTAACGTAAGAATAAGAACGTATCTCCAAAAAAACTCATAAATATGTAATTAAAGTCAATTGAAAAAACTCCCAAAACTATAAATCTGACTAAATATGGAATTGTATATCAATCAGCACTCACATTTTCTTTACATATTATTGAAAATAAAAGTAATAAGGTGGCCACAACAAAATGTAGTCGAATAAAATTCAAATATATATATATATATATATATATATATATATAAATAAAATTCAAGCAATGAGGTTGGGCCAAATTGAACAAGAAAACCATAAGTTATAGGTTATTTAAATTCTTGGTGGCCATGAATTATAGGGTTTTTTTTCTTTTTTCTTTTTGACATACTAGTTACTAAGGGTACGAATTGGGCAGATCAATGCAAACTTAATCCCAAAAATTAATAAGGTATATTTTGGCACAAATTTCCAGTACTATAATTGAGTTTACATAATTAAAAAAAATCCCAAAAACAAAGTAATTTTTCTAATCCATCCAAATTTGTTCTGAATTTATAAATTTAGGTTCACCCCAATTATTATCTAGGGTTAATCCATCCTGGCTTTACTAATTTGGATTCAACTTTAACAATTGAACTCGGATTTTGGCCTAGTTATGTACCACCCGTTCCTTAACAGCTTCAATCTTACTTGTGCCGATCTCTTTGCCTGTTTTTTGCTCTCCTCTCCCCAGTTTCTTTTGATATCCCCCGGTTCGAAAGCAATCAATTGAGCAACTAGTGGTTCTGCTGTGCCTTTCCTTAAAGCATCACCAGTGATTTTCTTTTCTTGAATATTCAGGAGCTAACACCATTCCAATGGCCCCCTTTCGCCATGAAAATTAAAGCTTTATAAATACAAATACATGCAATATATTGAAACTCATTGCCCATGGATTAAAAAAAAACCCGTTTCAACATAAAAAAAAAAAGGATAAAAACTAAAGCAAACATATAATATCGTATTCAAAATTGTAACTAAGTGTTGCCCATTGGTTCAATGCCCGATTCATAATTAGAAAGTTTTGTTTGGTCCTTTGCTAATTTGGGCTAAAACTTTGAAAATATAAAAAGGGCCAAAATAGGAATCAAACTTGATATTATTAGAAATGTCAAAAAAAAAATATCATATTTATAAAATGGTGGTTTAATAACATGGGGTGTCAGTGACGATTTTGATAATCGAAGCAGTGTCTTTAAAGATATAATAAATTAGAATTTTTTTTTAAAAAAAATTGTTTTGTACGGAACATACTAGTGTTCTGTCCGAAATAAATAACCCACGATGATGATCTATCTATGTGGTCCAGCCCTTGTTTTTGGGTTTGATTGGTTTTCGAAGGGGCTGCTGTTCCTCCCGAACAGCAGAGGAGCCGGATCCGCCCCCTCTTTTCCCTTAAGATGTCATCTTGGCATTTCCAAATTTGTTATAACGACAATTGGCACAGCTCAAAGGCATTCAAATGCATGTCGATGAAAGCCGTTGTAGATTCTCTTTTCCACCAAATTCTCTGAAAATTTCTTGTTGGAGGTTAGTTCTTGGGAGGAAGACAAAGCATAGCATCTTGCACATAACGGTCTATCTGTATAGGGACCAAAATGACACAAATTGAAAATTTTATAAACAAAAAATTGATATAATGAAGATTAAACTGACAAAATATCAATATTTTATAAACAAAAAATACTATTAAACCATAATTGTGTTCTGACCATAAAAAATAGAGCTTTAACAATTATTTAACGTACCATGAAAATTATTCTCAATTTTGGACTAGTAAAACAACAAAAATGTGTGGCGAAGTCAAGCCATTGTGACTCACCATTGGTTATGTATCGGTATAATAACTTGAGGGAAAGAAGGAGATACATTCAAAATTCTTTGTTAAGGATAAATAAAAAAAAACAACATTAATGTGGTGGGATGGGATTATGATTGAAAGAAATCTATGTTTTGATAACTTTGAAGAGGATTATTGTTGGGTAGTTTTAAAGACTAAGAGTCTATTAATCAAATGATCTGACTCAACTAAGACATGCATATGTAATTTAGAAGTACAAAAAC